TTGTGTAATACTTTCTCCTCTTACTGTGAGAAACCTTCTGTAGAGGCTTTACATGAAATATTTCAAGTATTTCTCAAAACTAATTTAAAACAACTCTTTTTTTTTATCTCTGGAGAGAAGCTTTTGTGTCAGAGAGACGTCACTGAGATGCTCAAGGACACCGTGTTTCACTGCTGAAAGGAATAAACTACACTCACTGTGGATTGTAATAATTTATGTATCACCCAAAAGGAAAAGAGCTTGTGCTTTTAATAGTTGTTTTGAATGACAGTAGACGACTACACGGACAATGCGTGTTAGTAAGATCGAAAATTGCTGTTTTGGCCTCTTCATGGGACGTGTTAATGGGGATAAAAAGACGCATGTTGGTTGTGTTGCTGCCATGCATAACCTTTCCATGACAGCGATAACTTTGTTGTTTATTGTATAAACTGTGAAATCCAACATTGCCACCACTGGGATTTAACCTGTGCCAGGTTAACGCTCTCTCGGTGTAGGTTATTCTTTCTGACCTACGTGTACAATCAAAGGAACTGCAGTGAGTAACTATTGGCTGTCAGTGGCGTGGCTTTAAAACATCACACGAGGCCTAACAAACGGCCGTGTAACTGCAGTCACTGTTGTACAGTGGTGCCGTGTGCAGGACCGAGAGCGCTTCATGCTTAGAAACATGAGCGACCTTCGTTGTCCAGCTATCACTATGTATTTATGTCTCTGTGTATATTTGGCTTTAACGCCCAGTGGCGCGGCCTCAGGACTGCACTCTGACCTTTGACCTATTTGCTTCAGTAAATGCTTGAGTTTATTTCTGCATCCCTCTGCCGGCTTGTCTGAACCACATTTGACATTAGCGCTGCGTAGGAGGCCCCGAAGGCGTTTGTTGGTTTGCCCACCAGCTCTGTTTGTCATCTGTGTGGCGGAGCAGCACACCGAGTTTACACTACCCCGTGGAATTGGAGAGAAGAAGGAGGAGAGAGAGCGAGAGAGAGCGAGGATGGCGGATAAATATCGCCGATTTCCAGGCTTTGGGTTAATTCATCCCTAATTACACTTGAGTTAAACAAAGCACCGCTTGGCAACGCACATGAAGAGGACACGGAAACTTTTCACCCTGTTTTTGAGGCCGCTCACGTCCGCCTGACGCTGGGTGTTAACGGCTGGCCCAATGGAAAGGTGGGGGAACGAATTCTACGGTCCGATCGGTTCCTTAAGCGTAACAGATGCCGTTCTGCTAACCCCACCCTGGTATGGGAAAACTGGGCCTTCTACTTTGTTAATGTTAATGAAAGGTGACATATCCAGGGTGCCCATAGCCTGCTAATCAGCACTAATCTGATCCACTGGATTAGAGGATGGGAATGCATGTAAGACACTGTGTGCCTCCCTCCTTCCAGAAGTGAGCCATCTTTCAGTCCACCTAGCATTCAATACTGGACTCTTTTGAGGGCCTTTTGAGTTTTTGTTGCTTCTTCTTGCTCTTTTAATAGAGATCCATTATTTGAGTTCGTATTTTTTTTTTGTTGTAATTTTTCTTGTTCAAGAGATTTGTTTGTGTTCGTCCAGTCAGACTCTTGTGCTGATTAGGCAGTTCTTCCAACAGGCTCCGCTCTTGCTGCCATCATTATAATCTCCCTCCTCTGGTTCTGTGGGATTATGATGGCTGTGAAGCAGGACAGCCTGTGACTGTCCACTGCTCTCTGCAGGCCTTTCTCTCTCCATGTTTTTTCTCCTGGCTTTAAATTGGTGAAACAAACCAGGAGCCAAGATGCTGAACCAGAGTGCTGTGATGATCTTCACTGGGATCTGTGGGGCGTTGGTGGTCATGGCAATGGCCTACTATGTCTACTGGTAAGTTAAAGGGGCGAGAGAGGTCGTTTGGTCAGGCTAGGATGGGGCCCTGCTCGATCCTACTAGATGGATCGGATCTTTTTAAAAGAGAGCGAGGACAGCGTAGGACCTCGGCGTAACTCAGCCTTTTATAGCGGTAAGTGCAGTGCAGACATTTGCAAGCCAAATGAGCTTTTTAAAATGACGATTTGAACGATAAAGGTGCGGTGCGTGCCAAGATGTGTCTGAGGTTTGCCAGTATTTAGTTGATGTCTTTTAATGTGCACTTCAACAGTCCTTTATCATATTAGATACTCCTCGCAGGCAGTGGTCATCTGTTGGATGAAGCTGTATTCAGGCCTTAAGCAGCTTTAACCCAGTCGGTGTCTCTAATCTTTCTTCCAGGCTGAGTGGGTTCACAGTCGGGCCCCGCACCCACAGAGAGGTGGACCCCCACTGCCTGTTTTTATAGTCAAACCTGATGTTTGTTCATCTCATCTTCGTTTATCACATCTTTTGTTACACCAGGCTGTTGAAACCTCAATTCAAGACAAACGTGGTGGATCGGAAGTTTGTTTAAACCACCGCGCTACAGGTTGATTTGTTTGAGTGTGATAATGTGATGAAGCTGTTGTGTTATTTTAAGAGCAGTGTTTGTGATCTTGTGATTTTGGGTCTGGAGAGTGAAACATTTTGATTAAATTGAGTTTTTACTGCCTACTCTTAATACTGAACTACTAACCTGAATAGTTGAAATGGAGCACTGGTCCAATTTAAATTGGCTTGGTTATTTGGTTGTTGGTGTAAATACATCATAGTAGTCAATATATATATTGTGTTTTTGTAATGCTTTATAAGATCTACAGCGATCCCATCTAGAACAGGCTGGTGCTATCAACCAAAATGTGCTTATTGCAGCATAGTCGGTATCTCAGTATACATCAGCTGAAGAGAAATGTCAATAAAGTTGAGATAATTTAGAGAAAGTGTCACACAAATAGTTTGTTCACTAGGGAGCGCTGACACGTTTATTTTTCAGTAAGCATATATCTTGATTAAAACCAAACCTTGAACACTTGCAGGGTAAAGTTGTTGTCTAAAGAAAAGTCAAATTAACATTAGCGGTGTACAAACACATCCCTAACCCCGGACACATTTAGCTCGGGATTCAGTTTGATTCACGATGAAAATAATCTAAACGTTTTATGTTTTCCCCAAAAGCTTTAAATTGTGCAAAAATGTTTCACCAGTTTCTTCAAAGTTTCAGTTTTTCTTTCTCTAAATTTTGGTGCAAACTACAAACAATAGAAGTGAAATATAACGGCACGATCCCCGAATCTGTGTTACCAACTTGGCCACTTTCTTGCTCACTTCAATAACTTTGCAGACCCTCTTTCGCAACTTTATTTCTATAAAAAAAAATAAACACTAGTGACAAATTTTGCAACTTCTTCAAACTACCAGAGAAAAGGCAAGAAATATATTCAAATATATTATTTTGTAATTTATTCCCAAGCAAGCTGCTCGAAGTACTTGTAGTCTTCTACCAACAGCACCAGGGTCTCTGCCTCTCCTCTTGGGGCACAGAGATTACATCTCCAAATCTCTGCGTTATGGTGTTTCTATTGCTTATATCGAAGTAGTTTGTTCCAACCTTTGTGTTTTTTCTTAAAATACAGATGTCCCTGTAGTGAGTTTGTGGTTATTTGTGATACGTTTGTTAATCAAACTGTTAGAAATAAACAAGAAACAGTAACTCAACCAATGACTAAAAGAAGAATGGAAACTGATTGTGACCAGACACATGGGTGATTTCAATGTTTTATTCAGATATAAGTGCAGAGAACAACTAGCAGAACATTTGTGGCAGACCAGAATGAGTCAATGCAGCGATGCAAGTGAAAAAACAGTGACAGTTTGTCTGACCTGTGGCCCTTTGCCCCTTTCTATCACCCTCTTTCCTGTCTATGTTGAGCTGCCCTGTCAAGGAAAGACAAAATACCCCAAAAATATATGAAGAAAAAAGAATGAACTCATGAGATTTATTCAGGATGAAGAAACAATATGAGGTTTTGTTGGAGTAACATCCTCTGTAGACTTGGGTTGCCCAGTTAACACCAATTCTCAAAGCAGATGCGTTGAGTGCTGCTGGTTAGTGTATAAGTGAAGTTATATTTAGAGGTGATATGAAGGCGCACACATTGTACTGTGAACCAAGGCCTCCATTTTAACTTGAGTGAAGATTTGTGGTTATCCAAGATAAATGACTGAATGTCCTGAGGCAGGAGCAGAAAGAAGAGTGTGGAAGAAAATGGGGACAAAGTTCACAGCATGTCTGGAAATGAGTCGGCCTCAGCTGAGTTTCTGCTTGTTGCCACAGCAAAAGTTGGCCAGAGGAGCTTCTCTATTGGTTGAACAGTTTTGCTCTCCACAGGTGGATTTTCACGTAGTACTGATATAGACTGAAATCAACGGCTGATTGTAAATGATAAAAAAATAAGTTTACCCCTAAAAATATCAATCACAGCTTTAAGTACTGGGCTTGAAGCTGTTTATTTGTTCTTTTACCTTTGGATTAAATTTAAGAAATGCAAACAAACTTCCAATGAACTGATAATTGGCGTAAATAACTTGATGCCTCTTATCTATAAACTCTATCACAGCTTGTTTCTGTCACTCAAAACGAATCAAAATCCACCAGAAACATTGTGTTGCATTGCTGCATAATCCTACACCATGCATTCACATTTTATATCACCTCTGGGACAACAATGTAATAAACTGTAAAGGCTATAACTGAACTAAATGTCCTAATCACTATAATAGAATACTATAAATGAGATAATATGAAGTTGTTAAGGAGCTGAGAGTATTTCTAAAAATGTCCCCTTTGATCTACTAATGGATCTGACATCCTGGGGCAAAAGGTTTAATCTTAAATAGAAGATTATTCTGCCAGTTTATTAATAAGCATTGTTATTATAAAGAAATGGTGATCAAATTAGGGCTGAATGATACGGTAAATAAGTCATATTGTGATTATTTTAAAAATATACGAGCGATATAATTCACCATTAGTGGAAATCATCATTTTTGTATCACAATTTGTAATTACTTAAACTTAAAATCATGACAATGTGACATTTGTTGGCCACAGTATCTCTGCAGCACTACAGTACATTTCACCTTCTTCTGCTATTTGGATATTGCACTCGGTCATATAACAAGATAAGATATGTGCAAGATAAAATCAGATTGAGCAACTCACGTATTTACTACACATTATCTTCATTGACTCTTCAGTATTGTTGCCACCCTGATGTTACAGGAGCCACAAGTGAAATGTACAATAGTGTAACTTCACCCCTCCCAGTCACTCTCTCCACACTGGAACAAAGGTCATACCTGCAACAGTATGTGAAGACAGCTGTTCATGCTTGGACCGACGATCCCATCCATCAGGTGGTAGATGACATACTGTCACAGAACATGTGACAGCATTTCATCACGTCACTGTGTCCTGACTGCAGAGATGTAGAAACAGTTTCATTTGCCCGAGAGACTGAGCTGAAGGTCTGTGGATGTTCAAGTAAGATTTCATTTCCTTCATACCCAGGCCGCTGTTATTCTGTGTGTTACAGCGCTGGAGATATTGATTCCACTGGATAAGACTACCCACAGTGAACTCAACAACGCGCTTTAATTTAAGCTTTCTTGGTCTTTTACTGAGAGAGTACTTAAAGGAATATGAGGTAATAGATAGCTGTAAATGTAGTTGGATTGCTTGGAAATTCAGGCATATTTCAAGATATATAAAACACCCCAGGTTACTAATGTTTAATGGCTGTGTTGGGAATTTGCTCACTGTCTCTCATTTTATGTATTTGTGTATTTGTATATATGTGTGTGGGGGGGGGGAGTAGAAAATATGATGCAATAATATTTGAATAAACAAGCAAGCATTCAGTACAGACACTATTATATGTGAACAAGAGAGTGTCTGTGGTTGAAGACTGTTATGTCAATGTGACACACAGGCCCAGTGTTTCTGTCTCTCCCTTGTTGTCTAGCATGGAGGCTGTTGTTCTAAAAAACAAACACCAGACGGTTTGTTTTTGTTGTTTTTTTTGCTGACACAGTCGTAGCAGTGAATGCAGGTGACTGTACATACGTTGATGTTAGCACTGCACACTTGTATATAATAATAGATAATAATTGGGACAACATTCCACTATAAACTTTAGCAAGTGCAGCATTGATGTTTTATTTTAATAATGCTTTGAAGTGAATGAAATGAATTGCTCCTTATTTACTGGTAAATAGTTTGATTAAACCCCAGGTGGATCTTGAATGAATGATATATTTTATGTGTAAAAAGACACAGATTTCATGTAAGCAAAGACTTTTTTTTCATGATATTTAGATAAATTGTATTTAAAATAATATCATCTGTGTAATATAATTTTAATAACAGACTGAAGAGAGACAGTTGTAATGTAAATAAATAAATAAAAAATGAAGCAGGTGGGACCCAGTGGACAGTCTTGAAGTTGATTGGATGTCCCGATCGCCACACAGATCCGCAAAAGAACAACTCAGATTAGAAATGTTTCTCAGAACAACTTTAAGCTGGCTTGACCTACACTTTAATGGGCTTTGGTGCCGATGTGGGAACAGTCCACTGAGGGCCGGGTGTCCTGCGCTCATCGTGATGGGCTTTGTATATTTGTTAACAGTGTTATGGCAGAGGTTCTCTGTCCACTACATCGTGTAATGTGAGATGTTCTCTAACAAAACTGATGGCCACATGTTGTCTATGGCAGCTGCCTGTATTACACAGTACTTGTTTCCCCATCCATTCATTCTCTGTACCTGCCTATTTTTATTTGTCATCATAAAGGGGGTGGAGCCTATCCCATGGAAACACCCTGAACAGGTCCCTTGCCTGTTGCAGTCCGACAAACACACACATCCTTACCTAGGGCCAATTAAGTGTTTCCACTTTACCTGAGTTAAATGTGTTTGACTTGGAGGAAACTGAGTCGAGTCCCCAAAGTAAACTCCCACAAGCACAGACAGAACTTTACACGCTGCACTGGCAGCAGGTCTGCAATATGGGCTGCAACTAATGATCATTTGTGTGGTGAGTTAACCAGTCAAATGTTTTTTCCAGTTTATCATTTAGTCTATAAAGCGCTACGAAAACAGTGAAAAATGCAGATCATAATCTAGATCGAGTCCAGAGGAGAAAATCTGAAAGTTGTCACATTTTAGAAGCTGAAATCATCCAAAATGGATCAGGCTTTATACAACTGATACTGATCACATGAAAAAATGTGGTATTGAGCCTGTGTATAGGGACATCGTATTAATAACACAAGAAGAAGTAGTGTCCTTCTTAGTACTGCAGTTCTTGGGGTTAATCGTTGCTTCTCTGTATAGGAAGTGAAATTTGGTTTTCTGAGGTCAGTGTTTTTATTTTTTGTAGCATTTTTGTGTACTCTGCATTTTCAAAGATGTATGTTTGTGACGGGGTATTAGAAGTTGCAATGTGTGTTTGTTAAGGGGGAATTAGAAGTGCAGCTGTCTCTCTCAAGCCACAAAAGTGACAGTGACCATGCTCTTTCTCAAACCGACATCTACACAGCTATAAGGCCACAGTGTACATCTTAAGACCCATTCGATAATAAATTGAAATCAAATGACTTGCCAGTGTGTGTTCTACAGCATGAGTCATGTTGTCGCAGCATTTCTCTTTTAGTTAATGTTAACTTTCCACCCACACTGAGAACGATGGAGGATATTTCTGACTTGTGTCATTGGCTAACACAGTTTAACCTGTCTGATGAAACATGCACGGTGCGCTTTATTGAATTCTACTATAATGACATTGTACTGTAGCCGCCTTTTTCTGTTTAATGTCACTGTCACTAATGTCTCAACCTGTGTTCTGCTGTCTTCATCAGGTCTGTAGTACTGGCTGACGGACCGTGTAAACGCGGCTTGTAAAAGGATCCACCGTGGTAAGAAACACTGCTGTCTTTTTCAGTTTCTAAAGGCATTTTTATCTGCACAGGAACAGACCACATCCTTTAGTCTGCACTGTTCTATCAGTCTCTAATTGTTCTTTACCCTCCTCCGTCATGCTCTTTTGTTTCCACATCTCTCAGTAAAGTTGTTTTCATTGCTGTGTCTCTCTCTCTCTCTCAGGTTGGTCGTCGTGTATAGAGAGGAGCCTACTCCGCTCTCCAGGCTCCTCAGCCATGGCTCTGCTGGCCTACCTGAAGAGCCTGTTCATCCTGCAGTTGCTGATGGGCTTTGTGTTTGTGGTGAGCGGCCTCATCATAAACTTCATCCAGCTCTGCACGTGCATCCTCTGGCCGATCAACAAACAGCTGTATCGCAGAATCAACTGCCGGCTCTCCTACTCCCTCTGGAGTCGTAAGTAGATGATACTCCTGTTTCATATTGTTATAGTTTTATTCTTTTTTTTTAATGTGAAGTGTCGTGTATAAAAAAAAATGCAACCTGGAAAACTCATCAGGTAGTTGACCTCTCTAATGTTCAATCTTCTTTTATGTCTGAGGTGAATAGAGTCTGTAGCTGCTCGATCCTCCAGTGTCACCAGGCTCCCTCTAACGGTCTGTCTGCCATTTGGGCAGGTAGTGCTCGGTTTATCAGAGCTGCATCAGCTTTTTGCTCCAAATGGGCCCACATGGGTAAAGGAGAGCAGCTGAAGCTCAAACCGACATTAAATCTACACCTAAATAACGATCTAAAACGCTCCATAGAGCTGTAGTTACTAATAATTCTCTTTGTTGCATGAATCACTGTCATATTAATCAAAACAAACTGAGGAGTAAGTCTGACATGTATTTAGAGGAAAATGTCTTGACCTGGTACTTTTTAAGCATACTTGTTATAGTCAGTGCTATAAATGATGTGTTGTTGTCTCTGCAGAGCTGGTGATGCTGCTGGAGTGGTGGTCGGGCACAGACTGCACCCTATACACCGACCAGGCTACGGTGGACAAGTTTGGCAAAGAGCATGTCATCGTCATCCTTAACCACAACTTTGAGATCGACTTCCTGTGTGGCTGGACCATGTGTGAAAGATTTGGCATTCTAGGGGTCAGTAACATGACAAAATGTAATTCTTGTGGCTCCAAAAAAAAAAAAAAAGATACTCAACTCCTCATCTTTACATAATTGGATTAATCTTCTCTCATTGGCCAGGTTGGACTTCAACTCTGAGTGTGAGAATTCCAAGCTTTCGTCATTAAATACACATACCTGTCTTCCTTCTCTAGAGTTCAAAAGTGCTAGCCAAACATGAGCTACTGAAGGTTCCTCTGATTGGCTGGACCTGGTACTTCCTAGAAATAGTCTTCTGCAAAAGAAAGTGGGAAGAGGACCGAAAGACTGTATTCAAAGGACTGAGCAGGCTCAAAGACTATCCTGAATGTATGTGGGTAGGTACACTTCATTCTGTGTTTGTCTGTCTTCTGGCATGAGTGTGTAAGTGAAGTAGTAAGCTGTGTGTAAGGGTTAGCAGTTAGCTTTGACTCATTTTCATGCTGCTACACATCCATTTGCCATAATGCCATATAATGTGTTTTGCAATCAGCCAACTGTAGCCCAGTTGCTCAATCAAGATTGTGAAATATCTTCTCAGAGTTAACTTCTCAGTAACAAACAAACATGTAGTTACCTGACTACGTCATTATCCATTCAGGAGTATAAATGCATAATCTGGAAAAAGGCAGTTTACTTTAATTCGTAGTATATTAGAACTTGGGTCTAGTGTTTGTAGCCTATCAATCATTTTCACTGGTGAAGATCACTGTACTCACAAAGTTACTTGCTGAGATCTCAGAGCACAGAGAGCCTGCTGAAAAGAAGTCCTACCGGGTCGAAAACATGCAGCCAGAATGTAAAACCAGTTAAATTAGAGGTACAATCAGAAGTGTGTTCACCAAGCAGCAAATGAAACCAACACAAAAGTAACAAAAACTGCACTTCCTTGAACTGCCTCTTGAGGCAGACTACAGAAGTGATTAAAATACCCAGCTTTAAAGCAGGAATCAACATGTTTACAGCCCGGTACAAAAAAATGGTTCTCTTTATTCATGACAACTGTACGGCGGCTGTATTTTTATATATATATATATATAACTCACCTGTTTAATTTATACAGAGACTTAAAGTTATGCATTATTAAGGGCATAGCCACTTTGAGTGACAGGTGGGTGCAGTCACAGGCGGCTTATTTCAGTAACCAGTGTTCATTCAGCCTGCCTCAGCTCCACTTCTGAGCTTCACGACGGCTCTTTATAAACCTATGGGCGACATCTCCTAGACTACGTCCATTTTTAATTATCCAGTCTATGGTATGCACACATAAGTTGAGTAATAATCCCCCATTAAACAGGACTGAGTGAGAAGTACAGTAGGTCAAAGGTCAACCAGAAAGTCGTCCTGTAAGCCATTGAACAGTTGGTTTTTCTAGTTTTAAGTTTGACTGACGTGTTTTCTTTTTTCTTTAAACGTGTATGATTGTGTGACAGCTCGTGTTCCCACATCTCCGCTCTTAGTTAGGTGAATACAATGTTATTGCCACCCATAGAAACAATGGCCAAAAATACAACTGGAATAATTTATAAGCAAAAAAAGAAACACGAGGAAATCCAGATGCTGACCTTTAACCCAGTGTATCTTAAGTAGGTTGATGCTGATGGTGATATACACTCAAGTTCACTCAGTGCACCAGCTGTACTTAAAACAGGAGGGGGGTGTGTTTATTCTTTTCTGTGAAACTTCATGAACTGGACTCTCCACTGTGCATAAACAGTCTGAGGAGGACAAAACAGCTCTTTTCTGTTTAAATAAACATGTGGTTTAGATTCATGGCAACGTACCTGGTGGCAGCAGGTCCTATTTGTTTTACTGAAGGTGTTACAGATTTTCACCGTGACTCAGCCAGCAGAGATTAGGCAGATCAGCAGTTGATCTAATTACTCAAGTCAAGCACTGGGGCACTGCTAATGACATCATTTTTATGTGTTCAGACAAACAAACTAAATAGTATTTCGTAGAGTTGACACCCACCTGCCTTAATAAGGTACGATAGTGACTTTATTTTAGCGTAGTGTTACATTGAGAGGAACTTGATCTGTAATTCAACCAAGCAGAAGTAGGGTAGTGGATGGGACAAGAGAAAGGAGGTCACCTCACGTTCCTCTTTATAGGTGTGTGTGTGTGTGTGTGTGTGTGTGTGTGTGTGGGTGGGTATTAACACAGCTCTTCTCCCTCCACAGTTTCTGCTGTATTGCGAGGGCACCCGCTTTACAGAGACGAAGCACCAAATCAGTATGCAGGTTGCAGAGAGTAAAGGTCTGCCCAAGCTCAAATACCACCTGCTACCCCGAACCAAAGGATTCACCACCACACTGCAGTGTCTTAAAGGCACAGGTAGCGTCTACAAACACACACTCACACACACACCACCTGAATCATGCTCAAAACACACATGAGTTGTCCTTAACCTGTATGTTTCTCTCTCACAGTAAAAGCTGTGTATGATGTGACTCTCAACTTCAAAGACAACCAAACTCCCACTCTCCTGGGCATCGTCAACGGCAAGCAATACAAAGCTGACATGAGTGTACGGTGAGTGCCACCGATACCCTCCATTTATGTTTGAATCATCAGTTATTGTAATTATGATGCATTACACTGCCAGCTGTACTCTGTGTCCTCAAGTGGAAAATGTATTTTAAACTTCTTGGCCTCCTACCAAGTGCATTTTTGTCCCCTAACAATGAAAGAGACAGTGAGTGCACTCAAAATGTTGGCTAGTTTCCCAGCACGTGTACGGTTTCAGAACAATAACTCGGATTGGACGGGGCACTCTTGCTGAGTAAAGAGGCCATGAGATGTCTCGCACTGAAAATGGTTGGGAGAAGAATGTCGTTTGTCTGGAGAGCACAGCACAGGCAACGTAGAACCTGAAAAACAGAGAATATGGTGCAGTGGTGAAGTGAATTTTAGGCTAGGGAGCCCCCTGGTGGTGAGAAGCTGCCAGTGGTAGATACTGTAGTATCTTGAAACATTTTCTGTTGCTCTCTGAGAAGACCAGAGGAAAGTTGTTACATTTTGTCCCTTATGTTATGTTATGTTTGTTTTATTCTTTCAAGCTGTTTCAGCTAAATGTTCACATTTCTTAAATCATTATTTCTTGTAATGGAAATTGATCCTCCAATGGAAAAACCTGCATGACTATACAACCAGTTCAAGAGACTATTATATGCATAAACCTTTGTTTCACCCCGTTTCTAAATACACTTTATGTGCAAGTAAACAGCGGGAGGTTGAGACTTCACGAAACACCAAGGACATAAGCCACACTATCTGTTAGTTACCCCAGAACTCAGGACAATGTGTAACTGTGTTGGAGTGACTCTCACTCAGGGATAAAGGGACACTGCCTCATTGACTTGTCACTCATTTGAGCCATCTATAGATAAACAGTTTACAAATAAATCTTTTAATTAGGCCGTCGTGCCTATGAATTATGTAAGAAAGGTTATTTTACGTCGGTCGGTCATATTCTACTCTTTACCTTTTTCTCTTAATGTGCTGAATAAAATTCATCCCACTTTCAAAAGGCGTGGACACATATTACAATTATCCAGTGAATCAGGTTCCAAATCACCTGAAGTTCACATAATTCTTATAAAGGTCACTCACCTTCAGCTGTATAATACAGTTTATATTTCTCTGCATCCACAATCTCATCATTGCATTTGCATTTTCACACTAAAAGGCAAAGTGCAGCATAAATTGGCACGTCAGATTGTTTCGATGGACTTTTTTCTGATTTGTTACGTTTTCCTGAGTTATCTTTCTTACAGGATTTTCGGTGGTTGCTTAGTAACGCAACCAGTGTGTCATTAAGTGTGTTGTCATTAAGTGTGTTGTCCTTTGTGTGCTCTCAATAATTATGTGCTAATTTCTGACTGTGTGGACAAAAGAAATCTGTGAATGCCGGTTGAAATAGTTCTGTGTTCCCAGTGTAAGACGGTGGCGGTGCATCTTTTTTATGTGCGTAACACAAAGAATAAATATGTAATTCCTTTATAATTTATTTTTCTTCCCCGAAAAGGCGGTTCCCTGTGGAGGATATACCAGACGATGAGCGGGAGTGTGCCAGTTGGCTGCACAAGCTCTACCAGGAGAAGGTAAACTGAGAAGAGCTGACAATAAAATGCATCTGTAATCGAAATGTAAAGAGGACCCACCACAAAAACTAGATAAGTTTGCTGTAAAATTTTTGTAAGATCTTTTTGTTTCCTGAGACCAAAACAGTTATTTTTTTAAATATAACACCAAATGTTGACCCACATTTGAATCCAGTGCACAAAGTATTTCAACATGTTATGGATTCATTGCTGCCATTTTGACCAAATTAAGTCACATTTAAAATTCATTCTCAGACATCTTAGCTCACTTGTTTGTGTAGTGATGAGTATTATTGGATCCTTTATACCTGACCCCAAATGCATCTCTGGTCCTTGAGACCTGGTTAGAGGGGTTCTTTATTTGCGACAGTATGCAAGTATAAGTGAGGTTACTATTGCCAATTGATCGATTTAATACATTGACAACCAGTTCTTCTTCCTGTCCTGCTCAGGATGCTTTGCAGGAAACCTACAACAAGGAAGGCAAGTTCCCCGGACCCACAATAATCCCACACCGCAGGCCATGGACGCTCCTGAACTTCCTGTTTTGGGCCACACTGCTGCTTTCGCCTCTCATCAACTTTGCTTGTGGAGTGGCCGTCAGTGGCTCCCCCCTCCTCATCATTGGCTTTATCATCTTCCTCATCATAGGTAGGTGCACCAGAGGCCTCTAGAATGACAAATGGGGGAGGCAGTGGTTCCTTGAATTGGGCTAGTTTTGTTTAACAATCGAATTGCTGTCCTCATTCACTCTCTCTCTTCTCCTTTGTTCTCTCCACAGCCTCTGTAGCTATCCGCCGCCTCATAGGGGTCACAGAGGTGAAGAAAACAGGTTCCAGTTATGGCAACCCGGAGGCCAAGAAACAAAACTAAAGTGTGTCACGCCCCCCTCCGTGTACGGCCGTTTCTGTTCGGTCGCCCTGCGGTGTCTCACCCCTACCCAACTCCATTCTCCTTTTACTGTCGAGTCAGTTGGCAGACCGGGGAGGAGACCCAGCTGTGAAAACATAATAGAGATCAGAGTTAGAAATACTAATGGCATTAGACTGAGTGAGAGAGAGCATGAAAGGTCTGGGGTTCAAGTTCTCTGGTGTAACACAGAACATGAAGGGGGGAGATGCAGTACTGTATTCACCTGCATCTTTCGTAATCAGCTCGCGACCCGCTGTCCCCATTCAAGTCCCATTAAATCCCGGTAACACCCAAGGTTAAGCTCCTAACCTCTCTGAGGTCACCTGGACCCATTTCCTGCTCTGAGCTACCTACCTCCACTTCCTGTCAGTCATCAGTCAATCAGGGAGTGGTGACGTGCTCATTCTCCTGGCCCACAGAACACGATCCGCATCTTATCTCAAATATTAACCTCCATCCAGGGGCAGTGCGTTTCTGCAACAGCAGTCTGTAACATGCAGGACATTTCTCCCTTTTTCTTTCCTCACTAAGTGGGACTTGTAATGGGAACCGGTGCCTTGAGGCCCAGCCTGGTTTCCTTAATCTTAAAGGGTTGTTTCACCCAAATCACAAAAACATTTACCATTCAACTTCTCTGTATCTGGCCACAGCCACTTCTAATGCCACCGGAGTGCAATGTAGGTGAATGAAAATGTTGTCTATGGCGCTCAAATTGTGAAAACTTAACAGCAGTGTGTCTTTGTTGAGGTCTTTGTTACGTTGGGTAATTTATGACGAATGTAAAAACAGAAAACTAGTGAAGCTGACCACATCGACAGCATTGGATTTTCCCAACAGCACATTGTTTCTGGAAAGAGAGACATTGCTCTTGAGTTTAATAATTTTAACACCATCAATGACGTTGTGTTGGATTAGCAGCAGAAGTCTCAAAATATAAATCCCACATTTGCATGGCGAGATACCGCAGGGGTTCAATGGTAAAATCCTTTTTATTTTATTTTTATTTTGTGATCTTGGTGAACTGACCCTTTAGCGTCTTGGTTTGAAGAGGCTGGTGTCTGTTAAACTACATCAAGGGCTCCGAATGTGAAAACTGTCCCTATCAAGGAAACTACCATCTGTTAAAGGTCTCATTTGTAACCAGCGGCACCAACACCCACAGACTCATTGTGACACATTTCAATTCTTTTCCAGTTTTTATTCCTGTTTTCATTTGCTTTACACGAATCGGAATTTTCATACATGTTATTTTTCTTATTAAAAACAATAATTGGACTCTTTCTGACCCCCGAGATATGTGAATTGTTAATTCAAGCAGCAAATCCCAGTCCAAACACTGAAGCAGTTCAACCTACCACCTCCTCTCCTCTCCTCCCCTCTGACAGTCGACGACGCACACTGTTCATGTGACTGTCGATTGGCAGTGAAACCAGAATCCAGAACAAAGTCACCAACTCTCTTCATGTAGCCTCACAGCTGTTAGCATATTATTTTGCTGTCCAGATATAGACTGTGCGTTAGTGATGTTTTAACCTTTGCCTTAAATCAAGCTTGCTCAGGCAAGGGATTGCTTATTCGCCACCCCTTTAAATAAAATAAAAAGCACCCACCTCTTTACCTCTATGTTATGTTTGAATATCCATCCTCCTCCTCTCATCATAGTGCGTCATGGGAGTAGTGTGCATTCATTTGGTCTGATTGCCAAAGTGAATGAGTAATTTAATACCATTTTTTAAATCTGTGGAAAGCTAGAAAGTTGTTGGTTTGTTCAAGGCGTCTTCGTAACTACATTGTCATTAGTTTAAAAGAAAGCTGCTTCCACACTACGTGCAGGCAGCTTTTGTTTCTCTGGATGTGTCGGTACACTCGCAGTTGTACATCATTTACCATTTTAAAGATCGAATATCTCAGAGCTTTTTAACGGTAACCAATTAAAAACGGTGGCTGCTGCAGTACATCGAGTGGATCTATTCCAGTGTTACGAGCCACATTTCCTGGTCCAAAAGGCAAACAATGGTAGCAAGACATAGAGGGGATATTTTGTCCTGCTCTCTCCTCCCCTCCCTCGATCCCTCCCACACCATGTGTAGTATTAATCATATTTTGAGTTGTTGGTTTAATTTTTTTTGTTGTTTTTTTTGGGGGGGGGGTCATCACTCCTCAGCAGCAGTATGTTGTGTACTTCCTCTTTCTATAGAGATATCTCAACCCAGACAGATTTCATGCAAGCCTTAATAGACAGTGCTGCTTAATTTTTTTGTGTGAAAATGTAGACGCTTACTGAGCACCTGTGGTAGTGAAGGGTTGAAAGATGTCCTCCGGTATAGCAAGCGAGTTGCTGGGATTAGTTGCCAAGTAGCTTGTTCTAAAAGTTTTTAACAATAAAGAATTAAAGATTAATGAGAATGGATAAAGTCTGCTCTTGTGTACAAAGAGCTCTGTTCATAAATCAATTCACATTTTTTACAAGAAGAGTTGTTTTACCTCAAACATTTGTTAAAAGCTTTAGTATCTTTAGCTTGTTATCCTGTTTTTCTGTTCGATCCCAACATACACATCAGATAATGCAGTCCCACTCATCCTGTCATTCAGTAAAACAAAATCATATTCCAGAAGCAGAAAGGATCCTGAGAAGTATTTGGAAAAACTTTTTACACTGGATGTTTTTTATTCAGTAAAAGAAACAATAAATGTAACTTGTGGTTGTTGTTTTTTTCTTCTGAAGTCTCGAATGGAATCAAATAACGTTACAAATTTACACCACTTTTCTTTTTTAAATCCTAAAGATAATTCAGTTAGTGGCACGTCTTGCGTCAGCTTTTGTTTTGTTTTCTAAGGCTATTTTTATGTTTTCTTCGATTAAAAAACACTTGAGAATATTAAAGAATTTAATCACAAAGCAACTCTTACTCCTTTGATTTATTTGGATTTGTGTGAGTTTCTCTGTTTGCACAGCAGTTCAGATAAAAGGAAAATATAGCTCAGCCTGATAGCGGGGGGGCGCAGTGGGGGTAGCTGAATCCACACTGAACATGTTTCCTCCTTCCCAGCTTTTCTGCTCCCATCAACAGAACCATTTTCAGAGGCACATTTACATCCACCATCCTTCATCCATCACAACATCCACAGTTTTCCATTAACATACAGTACGAAGTCACACAAGTGTGAAGTTTTGAAAATATGTACATAAAGGTAAATGAGTCACATTCACTTTCAGAAATTGTAGAGCTCTACTTAGCTGTTCTTTTGCAGTAGACCTTTTGAATGACCGTAAACAAATCGTCCATTTAATGTCCCGAGGACGTTGTGGATAACGCAGTCATAAGATGTGTGACTGGATGTTCAGAGACTATAAATATGTACATAATGTAAATGAGTATGATGTTCACTTTTAGAAATGGCAGAGATGCTCTTCTGTTCTTTTGCAATAGCTCTTTTGAATGACGGGCCAATGCGTTCAGGCTACAACCAAATGTACCACTGATGGGAAAAGCTTCAGCAGCAGAAGATTTAAACTGAGCTGTCCTCCAGGGGGGTTCGTTTCATGTTCCCAGGGTCCTGTGTTCCCCAGATTAATATGGAGCTCAGGACCATGGGAGCATAGATTTACTACCCTCTGGCGTACAGTGTAGAGGTTGTACACCTTCAACAAAGCCTCTCTTCTAATTAAAGCCACAGACAGAAGGCTGTAGTCACAGATGATGCTTACAAAGCATTTTTTTTTTCCAACTTTGTAATTAATCATGGTTTCTTACTGTAGTCAGTTACTTTTTTGCATGATGTGCACTATTGCACAGTCACTGAATCGAGTTAATTCTGACTCAGGGACTCTTTTACAGACTGGCAATGCAACAGCTGTGGCATTAACTCTGAATTTGAACCTGAATAAAATGGCTTTCTGAGGAAGCTGAAAAAGTGTGAGTCTTGCTTTTGTTAATGCTATACTTTTCAAGTTTTCAGGGGCTTTAAAGAAAACAAGATATCTTGTTTCAAATTATGAGTTTTTGAGACTAAATAAGCAACAACCAAAGTTAAATGATATCAAAAGGAGTTTAATGTAAATATCTAATCGTCATCAGGACTGTGTGGGTGTGATTTAATCAGATTTGATAGGCAGTTGTTTGGAAACAACTGTCATGACATTTTGATTCAAATGTTAATCTGTGAGAAAAAGGTTATGTCGTGTATTTCATGCCACCAATCAGAGTCATTTCAGAGCAGTGAGAAGAGAACAGACAAGAACAGAAATCTGTAATGACATAACCCAAACATCTAACTTTACAAACAATAATAAATTATGTAGCTATAGAATAAATATTACATATTCCCACCTACCCAAATATAGCGAGAGCAGTGCCCAAACACACTTTGTATGCACCATCTATAATGTATATTTATGATTTTATTAAGTATTTTTCAATTGCTGGTAAAATATTGATTTGAATCATTAACGTACAATGTGCACTTTGTGAGTCTGTGTAAGAGAGTCATTATTGTACATATGTTGACTATCATGGAGCCAGTTTCCTGTGATCATATGCACAGATGCAAACACCCTGTGTGTCATCAGTGGCTGGCCATTTGTATGTTTAGCAGCTGCTGAGCCCTTGGCCCCGGCTGCTTCCTCTCTGTAAGACGATGGGACAAGAAGAAAGTTGCTACCTGCTGGTCATAAGTCAGTGTCTTCAACCCTGCAGGTGGACCACATATTGTAAAATCCCAACATCTGGGCCAACAGGGTGTCCTCAAAACTATCGCAGTGCTGCAGACTTAAAACTGCTAGGGAAAAAAATTACATTT